TGAGAAAAATTGGATTTCAAGTCCTGAAAATAGTACATCTTATAATGCGCTTTTGGGCTGTCAATTTTCAAGTGTTCATAGTTCTACTCTATCTACATTATTTTTTAAGCTTTAAATTTTATAATTAGTAATGAAAATAAGTTTTCATGCCATCACAAAGATTCATCTTTCGATACTATTTGAAGGTGCGCTTTACTTTGACTGTTTAAGGCATCAGCCTTACACAAACCACACCCTAATTTAGTTGATGATTTTGATTGAACTAAGACCTATAGTGCATTTGGAAACTCTTAGAGGGGTTAAGCCATATTGTGAAGCTATCATTACTGATAGTTTGAGAGCTCGTGTACCAAATCGTCATATGATGTACAATGCTAGTGAAGAGTAGTCTTGTACATATTTTTATCATTTTACAAATACAATAGTTAGGCTATTGTCAGCTTGCTCAACTGATCATCTCGACCTTGATATGTATAGGTGTTAAAAAAAAAAAAAAAAAAATCAAGTCTTAAATACAATATATTGTGTAACACAATATCTTGATTGTCCATTTCAGTTTTTTTAACATTTATTATATATCTGTTCATTCTGCACTATTTTTTTTACTTTAAATTTCATAACTAAAATAAGAATAGTCTTTTAGGCTAGATGCCGCATCTTTCGACAAAATCTAAAGGTACGTCTTACTTTGATTGTTTAAGGCTGATGCCTTAGACAAACCCATTACCACACCCTTTCATGAAATGCTGCAAACATAGTCTAAACACTATTAAACCTTGTAAGTGAGTCATCTCAACAAGAAAATAAATTTGGGAATCAAAAGTCAAATGGGTGATCCAAAACCCAAATCAAGAAGATACATGTACAAGCTATGTAGTCCACTTTTTGAAGAATATCATGTGCTTTGTAGGTAGACTCTCTAAAAGAATCTCTTGTCCTTAACCATATAGTATTTGTTGATGATTTCTTCCCCCTTGGAAATATAGAGCCATAAAAACTTTCATCAGGCAAGATGCCACAGTAGTGTAGGAAAAATCAAATCGGAATGATTAACATGACATAGGCCCAGAAAAAGTTCAACCAGCCTAACTAGCAAACCGGCTGGTATAACCGTTTTAACTGAGCAAGTCATAAGTGGTCAAAAAAGTGTTAAAAGAAACAAAAAATGCAAATAAAATCAAATAAAATATAAAATATATATTTAAATAATGATTAAAAAAACACATCTAAATGAAGTTGAAAATTAATAAAATAAAAATGAATTTTAAAAAACCGATTTGTGTTTAGAAGTATTTTTTATTTTTATTTAAAAAAAATATATATAAAAATAAATATTAATGGGCAAAACAATTTTCAATCTTTTCTATAATGATTAAAATATTAAAAAAAATGCATTACAAATAAATTTTTTTTTTTTTGGATTTTATGATTTTTTTAAAAAAATTCAACATACCCAGCCAATCACTGAAACAGGTTGGAACGAGAACTATTCCAATCTAACCAAGCAGTCAATGATTAGACCGCCCATTCTTTCCTTCAATGTGCTAAAGCCCGTATCGATTGTGGACCACGCTGGACAATATAAATTGAAGGAAAAAAGTTTATAAAGGGTTGCATACTTATATTATAGCTATATGGTGAACCTAAAAGAATCCAATAGAGAAAGAGTGCTTTGAAGTTGATAAATATTCTAGTGGATCATCTCGATCTCGAGATATACGGATATAAAGAAAATAAATAAATTTTAAATCTTAAAAATAGTGCATTTTGTATTAAGTAATCTAAACCATCTATTTTCAAGATTTTAAAGTGTTTATAGATCTTCTCAATTTGTACTGTTTTTAAAATTTTAAATTTAACAATTAAGATTGAATATGGATTCTTGAAACTATCATAAGATTTCCGACACCAAAACTACGTCTTCCAATACAATTCAGAGATATGCATTACTTGAATCCCATAAATAGTGCATCTTGCAATACATTATCTAGACCGTCCATTTTCAAGATTTTCATATATTTATAGATCTGCTTGATTTTAACCATTTATGGAATTTAAAATTTTATAATTAGATATGAAAATATATTTTGATATAATTCTAAAAAAAAATTCACCAAATATTACATGTTATGATAAAATTTAGAGATACGCCTTAATTAGATCGTTTAAAGTTGCAACTGTACAGAAACCATACCATTTTCTTAATGCCGCTAATTACAAAGGATATTTGCTAAAACTTTCCTAGAGACTATACGTGCTCACTTTTATCATTAAGTAGGTAAAAGGGGCCATCCAATCAGCACCTTATCTCAGTTTATAAAAAAGAAAATATTCGATGAGATGAAGCGACACTTGAAAAAATTATTCACAACCCATATATGGAAAAGGAAAATATTCAATGAGATGAAGCGACATTTGAAAAAATTATTCACGACCCAAATATGGAAACCAACGGTTGTGGTGCGATGTTCCTCCCAGTAAACTTTGGACCCATACTTGAACCCGAACCTAAACCTGAATAGTATTTGAGTCAAAGATTTAGACCGGGAACCGACCCGTCATGGTCCAATTTTTTGACCTACACCTGAATCGAGTCTACCCCTCGGATCCCGGGTCTGGATCGAGGTCCAGGTCCATTGCCAAAATATAGAATAGTGTTAGCGTCCTTGTTCTATTCCAATAAAACGTTTATTTCAAGCTATAACTTTATACTATAAAAGTAAGGGTGTTGTTTGTATAGAGTCGAGGCTTTAAACAATCAAAGTAGAGCCCACCTTTAAATAGTATCGAGAAATGTGGTTTCAACATTCAAAATCCTTGTGAGAACTTTAAAATATATTTTTATCTCTAATTATAAAATTTAAAGCTTAAAAAATAGTGTAGATCAAGAATATCTATAAAAACTTAAAAATCTTCAAAATTGACAATCCAAAAATGTGTTACAATATGCATTATTTTCAAAACTTGAAATCCATTTTTTTCTCATGTCCATGCATCTTGATGTCGAGATGATCAATTTGACAATATTTGGCCACCAAAACAATCTCTTTTAGTGAAAATTTAAGGGTAAGCTATAGTTTGATTGTTAAGAGCCTCAACTCTATATATACTTTTTTTCTAAAAGTAACGTGCGCTTCAAAAATCCCGAAAGAATGAGCATCTTAACCTTGAGATGTATAAATATAAAGAAAAAAAGAATTTCAAATCTTAAAAATAATGTATCTTGTAACATATCTAGACTATCTATTTTTTAAAAAAATCAGGTATTTATACTTCAAGTGTTTATTGATCTGCTCAATCTGCACTATTTTAAAATTTTAAAATTTTATAATTGGGGATTGAACATGAATTTTCAAGCCATCATAAGTTTTCTGACATCATAATTATATCTTCGAGCAAAATTTAAAGGTGCACCTTATATAATGCAAGGTGGACACCTTATACAAACCTCACCCTATATTGGAGCTAATCTCGGCTTGCATGTTAGCTCACCATGTATTTTATTTTTTCAATAAATCCACACCGAAAATTTTGCCGCATTCACCAACTAATGTGGGATATGTTTGTTATTTATTAGTGCATATTGTGTACCTAGGTTACGTCTTTTCAAACTTGGGTATAAAACTTGAAACATATTTAAGCAAGTGAAAAATCAGTGTCAATACCCGTTATTCAACAAACTGGTCGAGATTGAATATGCATCGATGTTGCTTATTAACTACCAAAACCCGTCTCATGTGCACAAAAAAATGCGCATCAAAACACACGCCAAAATCAACAATCTCAATGGAAAAAAAGAGTGTTTTAAAACCCGTGGTCCATATCGACATTCGTCTATTTGTATCACAAATTGGCCAAGACTGAGAAAGTATCGATCCCATCTCATAAAACTCCCCTCCTTCCGTATTTATTCTTTTAAAAAAATTTTCTTAACCTTATCTAGTATTTTTCTAGGTCCCCCATCAATCCCACTCCAAATCTCCATTTTAATTTTTATTTTTAATATTTTTTGAACTGCTGATTCAAATTGATCCAAACCAATCCAGATTGTCGATCCAACAATCCAACGATGGATATTTGGGATAGATGGCCTAGTGAAGCTGCAGTTATTTTGTTTTATTATGAATATTTATCTACTAGCAACACAACCCCGACCTCATAAATATTTATAGACATGGGCACCTATTCCAAGAATAGAGTTGGGCATCGGCTAGGGTTCCTTTGGCCCGGTAAGGGCCAAGCAAAGCGTGTCTAGGCTCTTTGCCCCTGACTTATTTGGGTCCGAGTTCAAGCCAATCTAGAGTTCGTGCTCTCAAGTATTTTTGTCATTTTACACTCAAGGGCAATTTGATTATTTTAACATCCCTAGAAATAAGGGAAATATCAATCACTCAATATTAACCTCGAGAGAAAGGAGAAAGGTAGGGTTTCCATTCAGAGGCATTTTGGTCATTTCGCAGCCAATAACATTTAGGTCATTTTACCATCTTTAAAAATAAGAGGGGGAACCGAACATTTAGGATCCGCTAGGAGTGAAAAAAGGAAGGTGGAGTTTGTACTACGGGGCATTTCTGTTATCTCACACCCAATGATATTTTGTTCATTTTACTATCCCTATAAATAAAAAACACGACCAATCACTCAAGATTAACCCCGAGCGAAAGGAGGTCAGCCCATTGCTCGGACTAGCAATGGGTCGGAGGGGCCAAGGCGATGACCCGGACAGGCCCTCCGGCCATATTTGGTGGCCCTGGCCTTACTTTTATGGGGTGGGGGGCCGGTCCATCGCTAGCCCTACATGCTGCAAGAGTAGTATGATAGTTTTTCCCTCGGCCTCCTTATTCAATTCATTTTCAAGAATATCTGCTAGAAGGAATTGGAGGACACCTCATCCATAAAGTTTCAAGGACAATATAGTAATTCTACCATCGACTCTATTCAACCTCGCTCGAGCTTTTCTTCGGCGGCGTCTCGATCGGTGTGGGAAGGGCAAAATTACTATTCACTCCTCCTCAAAATGCAGGGTCTTTCAATATCCAGTGTTTTGAATATTTAAACCTACATTTAATAGGGGCATTTACAGTAAAACGAAGAGCGCTCCTTCTTTAAAGAAACTGGTTACTGCAAATTGGTTCGGTTGATGTCTCCGATAACAAAATCCCTTCACAAATTCGAAAATGTCGAATTCGTCCCGACGATTTTGTGGCGAACTGTTTGGGCTTTCAGGGAAGAGAGAGAAAGAGAGAGAGAGGGGTTTTGGGCCTCTTCTCATTTCTTCTTTACCACTGTTCCGTCTTAAGTGTATATACCATCTTATCTATCGTGGCTCTCTTCATTATTTACCGAAGAAAGTTCTCTCTCTCTCTCTCTCTGCGTTTTTTGCCCTAGCCGCTTAGGTATGCTCTCCTCTCTCTCCTCACACTTTTCTCTTTCTATCAGTTTTTTTCTCCCCAGATTCTCTCTTCTCTCTCTATTTTATCAATTTTTTGCTTCTTTTTTTTTTTTGACTGGTTTGTCTGTTGTTTTGGTTGTACCAGTGCTTCTGATTATTGGTGAGAAAAAAGGTTCGTTTAGGTTTTAATTGTGTTAGGGCTTTTGATTATTGATAATGGGTCTGCGGGGTGTGTGCTGTGTAATGCCTTTGTTTTGTATAAATATTTATGGTCGGTTACTTTGGATTTTAGGGTTTTGGTATTATTAAATCTGATACTTGGATTATTGGTGTTTGTATTGTGATTATTAATGGCTTTATGAGGGTTCTAGAATTACGGATTTAATTGGGTTGGTGGTTCAATGTTGATCGAACATGAAATTTTGAGCTTTGTTTGGAGATAATGTGTTCTTGTCACTGTAAATTGATTCTTTTTAATAGAAAAAGCATGAATTTTTACTGGGTTCAATTCTTCCTCCTTTGTTTTCTACGGAAAAGCCTTCATATTTACTTGGGTTCTGGATTAGTTGTCTAAACTAAAGGGTTTTGTTAAAGGCTTTAGAATTAGTTTTGGGAAATAGGGAGGAAAGTAAGCTCAAACAAGGTTTTTTTCATGGGGTTAAATTTAATGACGAGGCTCATTTTTGCAGCTTCTTGTGTCACTGCCAGTCTAGGGATGTTTGTGTACCGGAATTTTATGAGTACTTTTATCTTTTTATAGGAAATTTAGCTCTCTGGATTAGTGTAGAATTTCATGTGGAAGTTTTCTCTCAAACTTTTATTTAGTCCCCCTCCATAGAGATTGTTGTCGCCGTTCCTCTATCCTTGATTCTTTCTCTAGCATTGCTTGTGCTTTTTTTCTTTTTCTGACAGAGTTGCTCATTGGGCTTTCTCATTCGCTTTCGTGTTTTTTCATGGGTTTGTCTCTTTCTCTCGAACATTGCCTCGATTAAATGTTATACAGCAAAAAACATGAATTATGTAATGTCTGTTATAATGCCGACCAAATGACCGACTGAGTGAAGATATTCCTGAATAGATTCCTTTTAAATAGGGTAATATGCTCTTTATAAATCTATTTGCATATGATCATTATGCATTTTGTTCTTCACCGAGTTGGGGCATATTATCTTTCTTCAATCTCATTGTTCCGCATTTAGCTGTCTACTAATACAGTTGGAGTGAGCAGCCTCGCGAATGGATAAATTATTGGTCATCGAGTTTCATGATATATCAATATGCAATTTCCAAACTTATGTTCATGATGAACATGAAGTTTAATTGCCTCATAACAATAAAAATTTGATTCGTATAAGTTATAATTTTTAATAATCAGCTGCCGGTAGCATACTTCACCAAATAACAGAATAAGTGATCCCAATTTTCATTTTCCGTTTAGTTGGACAACTTTCTTTGGTTGCTCTAAGGTGACATAGATAATGTCTTTCATCCAATGGTTTCCTCCTTCTTGAATTTGATAACTTCTTTATTTTATCCGGTTCCGCATGCCCTTACCACTGCCTGATGAGGTCACCAGTTTTGGGGGTAATCATCTTCCGCCGCACTAGCAAGGGCCAACATAGCAAAATTGATAGAATCTTTGCAGTTTTTAAATGGAGTAGTATGCAATTACTGGGCTGACTTCCCCTGTTGTGTATCAAAATGACTTGGAGATATCTACCTTGTGTGAATAGGAAACTTGGCCTATTTGGTCAAAGTTTCTCTGCAAACCAAGGATCCAAATTCATATATTTGCGCACTGTTCAGGAACAGTGTAGAATAGGACACTCTTATTGATTAATCTTGTGCATTCCTCATCAGGTGCTTGCTCCACTTTGGGAGACGAATGATATCTATTTCTCTTGAACGTACTGTGAGTATAGAGGTTTCAGGTAGTTCTTCTCTTGGCATCCTCCAGAAGATAAATTACAAATGAGAGAAGTCTGAGGGCAGGGACTTCCTTGGAGTAACCTTCTGGTACAGCCCCTCTATGGGCTTCTTATAGAGGAAAAGGAGAACATTATAATTCACATGAATAAACATACCATAACTAGCAAATATCCTCTTCTTCTTCTTCCTTTTGTGCTTGAGCCTTTGCACATACAAACATATAGAGGAAGGTCTGCAGTTTGAGCCACCTCACTCCCCTCACTTTCAGTAAGACAATGAGGGTTGATGGGAGTTGAATCCAGAAGAAATGTTAGTTAGTTATAGGGTGCTTTCTGTATATAATATGCAAATCTCCAGCTTGTTCATAATATTTTCTGAGACCACTGGAAGTTATGTATAAACTTTCAAAACATGTGGCATATTGGTGGCTTCCTGAAAATTGTTCTCATGTTTTGCTTTGTCATTTTCTTTTATTTTTTCCATATGGAAAGTAGTTGTGTATGTGACTTTTATATATTTGCATTCGAGAAATTTTTTCTCTATTGTATTTGTTGCTTTGACTTGCTCTCTTGTGATTTATGTAAATTTCTTTATTCACTTGTTAAGGTGTTTAGGAGGATGACTTGTAAGCGTATTATTTATGGATTTGAAGTGCCTCTACCGCTTTTGTTATCCATGATATGATTGAAGGTCCAACTTGGTGTTCAATGAAATAATCTATGTGATCATTTTTTATCCTTTCCCTTCATTTATAAGCTCCTCTTATTGTGCTTAGGTGTGCTTTTATTGTCTCCTCTCTCAGCGTTGCAGAAAGAAGGGTTTTGGGATCTAAGGTTTTGACCATTCAACCATGGAGGGGCTTGAAGGTATGAGCTTTGATGGTGGATTAGGTGTGAGAAAGAAGCCTAGAAGTTCTTTGCACAGACGGCCTCGGACTGGTTATTCCCAGTTATTTACCGATGAATTTGGTCGTGACCTTTCATCACAATCGCCCACTCCACCCTCTGATACACAGGGCACTGGCAACTACTGTAGTTCTGGGAATTTGAGCAAGGGATCGAGCGATGACAATGAAGAGTATGATGAGGGCTTTCAAGATGCTCATTTTAAATCGAGGGATGGTTATTGGAAGACTGCGTCTGTTAATCAAATGGGAGGAGATAATAATCAGTGGGGTATGGATTGTGACACTTCAAACAAGACGGCAAGAAGTGGGGGAAATTCTGGAGGTTATAACGTGAAGAATGGTAGATACGCAGATGACTTTTATAGCAGTGGTAGTTTTAGAGGTTCTGCTTCAGGTCCCAAGAGATGCAGTGAAGGTGTCCTAGCGCCAGCTAATTGGAAAGGAAGTCATAGAGAAAACCAGGCCATGGATAGCTTAGTGAGTAGAGACTTAGCTAACTGTCCAAATATTGAGGGAAATGTTAGTAGTCGTCACATGGGGCAATTGGGGATATCATCAAATGGGTCAGGTAATGGAGGCTCAGATTCAAAGTCTATGCCTAGAAAGGTAAAGCTCAAATTGGGTGGAGTGACACATACAATTCATGCAAAGCCTGCTGCAAATTCTGGTGGTATTAGGCAGAATTCCTCTGGGGCTGCATCTGCTATGAAGCCTTTGCGTACTGATGGCAGTAAGCGACGCCAGAAGTTGATAACCCAGGTGCCTCATCGCTTGCTAATTGTGAATTTAAGATAATCACCTCATTTGCACTATGCATACTGTTCTGTTTCCAATAACTGGAGTATTTATATGGGGTTTATCATGGTTGCTTGCCATATCATAAAGTTGTTAATTGTGACCCGATAATATGTATTTTATGTAATTTGTCAGGGGCAGTACAAATTTTCAGAAAATGGTTAAAGGTATGTGTTAGTTGTTAATAGGCATTGATGCTTTATAGTTGCGAAATATATAGTTGATGGTTTCCTCACACACAAAAAAAGGAAACATTAAATGGTTTTTCGCCAGCAAATATCCTTGTCCACTAGAAATAACTTTTACCCCGATGCAAATGGTAAAAGGATTTCCTTTTTCATGAAAAATAATTTCTGCTAAGGAACAAATAGGCATGTCTGATAATCCTAAATTGGACAAGGAGCTTCAATATAAACGTGAGTAACCTAGATAAACCCTATGATGGAAACAGCGTTATTGTTGCAATTCATCACATCAACTTTGAATTGAAAAAATGTTAAAAGACTCTTTGTGCTTACAAAAGAATATTTCTCTTGCAGGAAAACTCAGATGATGATTATCCCTACCGAACAGGAAAGACCAACTCATTGCAAGGCATCCCGTGGAAAGATTTCTCAGGTGGAAGTTTCCCGACAAAGGAGTCGAAAAGCAAAAGCTCAGGTGAGAAGAAGCAATCCCAAAAGTCATCTAACGCACCCTCCTCCAAGCCAGTTCGGAAGAGCAAGAGAGTCCCAAAGAGACGTGTACTAGATGGGGAATATGATGATGCTGAAGAGGATGATGAGATCCGATACCTTGAGAGACTCAAAACCCCCAAGATCAGCGCAGATGTTGGTGGGGACTATGATGATGACGAGGAAGATGAAAATCGGAGAAGGGGAAAATCGAGGGGTGTCAAGAGGCGTCCTTTTGAGGGTGAGGTTGATGAAGATGGTTATGAGGAGGAACTCACATCAGTGAATGATGATATTGATAACTCAGAATTTGGGGCTGAGGGTAAGAGTAGCAAAAAGAGGAAGGAAACAGTTGATTCTTTGGTTGATGAAAAGAAGGAATTCTCTCTCACGACACGCCAGCGAGCTCTCCAATCAGGCAAGGACTCTGGAGTTGCTGCAAACCTGATCGAGTTTCCAGATGGGTTGCCAGCTACCCAGAAAAGTAAGGGGATTTGTTTTCTTAATTTGCTTAGCCATTGAGGACTAATGCAACTTTATGGAACTAGTAACTACTATTGCTTGGATAATTAAATTTTTTGTTGTCTGTCATTGATAGAGAAAAAAGAAAAGATGACTGAAGTGGAACAACAGTTGAAGAAAGCTGAGGCTGCTCAAAGACGAAGAATGCAAGTAGAAAAGGCAAATAAAGAATTAGAGGCATGTTTCTATTCTCCTGACTTGCATTTTGACGTTGCTCCATCATAGCTCTAGTACTATTTTGATGACAAAACTGACACCTTGATTCCAATATGCAGGCAGAGGCAATAAGGAAAATTTTGGGTCAGGATTCCAACAGAAAGAAGCGGGAGGATAAGATCCGCAAGCATCAAGATGAACTTGCACAGGTAACTAATCAACTTGAACGTTTCTCTGTCTCATAGTTGATTGTTTAGATTTATTTAACTCAGTTTTCTGTGCTAATTTGGTTTCACAGGCAAAGGCTGCAACTGCCATGACACTTGCTTCAAGCACCATTAGATTGGTTTCCGGTCCAAATGGCACAACTGTTTCATTCCCCGAAGATGGCCTACCTAGCATATTCAGTTCCACTCCCTGCAGGTGAATTTCATGTTTATTTTCCCATGCATTGTCTGCGTACACTCGTGTACATGCACTAGCATTTTGTCATGCATTACATTTTCTTGGGCTAAATGTCATGTATCACGTGATGCATAGTTATATACTAGCTGATGTCATGTGTGTAGCATGGAGCTCTAATTGCCAAATTTCATAATTTAATTATTTACTTTTAACTGCAATTTTTCATTTTATATTGAACTAATATTTTCCATAACAATTGGGTTTTTCGACCATTCTTAAGAAATGTCCTATTTATAACATCTAAATGGGATAAAAATTTAAGATTTCAAATCAGGAATATTCATAGTTTTAATAAATAATATTTTTAATAAATAACCAAATGCCGGTTTAAAATAAGAAATTGGAAATTTTAGGAAAAGAAACCTACTATATCATATTTTATCATATTTCAAATACTATTCTTCTATATTTTTGTTGAAATTATGCCATGATAGAACAATAGGATCTTTCAACTTCTCTTTAAAAAAAATGCTTCTTTAAGATTTGAGATTTACAACAAAAAAAAATTGAGATTTCAATTTTGGGTGTTTTTTAGAATACTAATGCAAATTCAAAATAAAAGATTTCAAATTTTAGGAAAGGCATGCTATCGGAGATCTGCGTTTCTTACCTTTTTGGGTGATAATCTAGGAATTGATTGGAGGTAGAGATAAAGATGCATATAAATTTATTGAATGTGCTCGGAGAGATATTGAAAATGAAATGTGAGGGGCAAGATGATATAGAAATTCTAAAGTTACTTACCAATGTAGATGTATGTGTGATTGTGTGGGGTGTGTGATATATGATGTCTTCATGTATGCATGTTTGAATATATGAACATACCAGTGTTTCAAAAATTGAAATCAGGCCCTGATGCGCCAGGTGATCAATCCCAGTTTGCCCCGTCTAACTTGGGCGATTCGCAAGCCAGATCAGGCTATATTTAACAAAGAAATTTAAAAAAATAACGGCTAAAAACTGGATCAGGGCAATACCGGGACTTCTCAAACCTGAATCACCTGGCTCTCAATTTCAAGTCAATTCAGGCGAACTCAGCTCGCTTGAATATTCTGTCTTGAGCACATCTCTAGGGCTCTATCTTCCTTAAATATTACTGATTGTATTTTCTTATATTTAACACTTGAGTCTTTCTCTGGCTATAGTTATCCTCCTCCTCGCGAGAAATGTGCTGGCCCATCATGCACCAATATCTACAAATACCGGGACTCCAAGTCGAATCTTCCACTGTGCAGTCTCCAGTGCTACCGTGCTATACACCAGACAATGCAATCAGTGGCCAGCTGATGATGTTCCTGGAGTCTCCTTTTTCATCACTAATTCTTATTTGTGGGCTTCCATGTAATTGTATATTGTGGCTGGTAGCCTGTTGAGAATGTTGGCCGAATCTTGAGGGCTTAAAAATGGGGGATCCATGAAGAAGGCTTACGAATTGATAATACAATGCAATTGAAGATTACAAGGTTCCTTTTTGTGCAATGCTGCCATCTCCTCCTGCGTTTGTATGAGCCCTCTTACTATCCAATGAAATTCTTTGATGATGCTTTTGTGGGTTTCCACATGAGGTTGGATTTTTTTTTTAAAGTACTAGCTGGTGTAGCTTTTCACAAAATAGACACTGATATTGTTCACTATCTTGTGTGGAAGTTACAACCCCATAACCCATCATTAATGACATGTTCATCATCGCTCATTATGAGGATTACAAGTCCGGTTAACCCACTGCACAGATCATTACCACATTGTGCATGACAATTGACACAGGCAGTAAACAACCATTAATAGCCGCAAAGGCCATGTGTGCTCACCCTATCCGCATGGCCTATGTCCATTATACAAACGCTACTGAGAAAGTCTCACACCATGGATCTTTGTCACTAGTGCACATATGGTTTAGGTGCCCGAGCCTCTAATCTCAGCTTCAAAATAAACGTCATCAACTAAAGTTGGGGTTACTTCCTCATATAGGCTTTTCATTTAAAGAATTGTTTCGAGAGGTAGCTAAATTCCTCAAAGTAGCACGAGTCCGTATATGACTTGCGAGCTTCTTTTCTACTTTATTTTATGGCAAGCAAGGGTTCCTCATGTCTCGCTTAGCCAACTTTGCGTGACGCTAAGAAGGGGATCCAACAACTGCCCATGCACATGTGCTTGTTTCAATCCATGATTATATGGCAATATATCAGCCAGTCGTTTAAAATTTGCCGGTCCAGATCGGGACCAAGAATCAGTCCCTTCCAACGTGGTTTGTTGTCGGAGCCAGGAATTATATTTTTTGCGTTTTTAGAAAAAAAATGTATTTTATATTTTTATGAAAATTATATTTTTTTTTATTTTTTCCTGCTTTTTTTTCTTTTATTTATTTTTATCGACCGACACTAAGGTGCGTATGGATGACTCTAGATAGACTGAATTTACATCTAGTTTGAGGTGATTTGGATGGTGTTATTTCACATCGAGTATCGACAAAATAAAGCATCAACTTAAAGGAAAAAGTTTATATAAGGTTGCAACCTTAAAATGTAGAATTATATACGCACCTCAAAAATCCATCGGAAAAGGTTGTTTTAATGTTGAAAAACCTCTAATCGGTCATCTCGACATGAGATGTATGAATATGGAAAAAAAAAAAGATTTTGAGTCTAAAAAATAGTGCATCTTGCAATACATTATCTAGACCGTCTATTTTCAATATTTTTATAAGTTTATAGATCTACTTGATTTTAACCATTTTTCAAAATTTAAAATTTTATAATTAGATATAAAAATAGATTTTTAGATAATCCTAATAATTTTTTACACCAAAATTACTTGTTAGTATACAATTTGGAGGTGTGCCTTAATTGGATTGTTTAAGGTTGCAACCTTATAGAAACCACACCAAAGAATCAAGCATTAACTTTCTATCAGCGTACTTAGCTCAAACAAGAAAATTTTTTATAGATTGGCTATAGAAGTAAGGTGCACCTCAAAAATTCAGTAGAAAAGAGTGCTTTGAAGTTAAAAACTTTCCAATTGATCATCTCGACCTCGAGATATATGAATATCAAAAAAAAAAAAAATTGAATCCCTAAAAATAGTGTATCTTCTAACAAGTTATATGGACTATTTATTTTCAAGATGTTCAAGTGTTTGTTGATAATTCTCGATCTACATGTTTTTGAAATTTTGATTTTCACAATTAGGGTTAAAACATAGATTTTCAATCCATTGTAAGGTTTGTGATACCAAAACTATACCTTCAAGCAAAATTTTTGAGGTGGGCTTACCTATATAGTATAAGGTGGGCCCTTCTACAAACCTCGCCCCTCAAACAAATACCCTCACCTTCACATGAACAACTTCAAAAGTTAATGAAAAGTTCATAAATGTAGTAATATTACTTGTTTGTATCATCTATTTCAATTGGGCAAATACATATTTAACATTATTTTAAAAGATGTGTCAAATCTTGACAGTGTCCAACCAGCCTTGTAAAACACCACAACAATAAGGTCGGAGCCAAAGACAACTGAGATGTGTAAAACACCACAACAATAAGGTCGGAGCCAAAGACAACTGAGATGTGTAAAACACCACAACAATAAGGTCGGAGCCAAAGACAACTAAGATGAGAACTTCAAATGCAATCAAAGATTATTGTCCCAATTAGGGGTATCTTTTGAAATCCAACCAATTGACCCAATCGTTTTCTAATTTCATCGGAGCTTTATTGTCCCTATTCTTCATCATTAGTACTCAAAATTTGAATGGTGTTACCTTAGCACATACGGTCCATTCTGCAGGTGGATTTTTTATTCAATGTTCTTACCGGCCGATCATCTATGCCAACTACCATCATAATCTTGAAAGAAAGAAGAATTTTGGGTCTTAAAACTGATTTTGTTTTTTGGATCATTTATTTCAATTCTTCGGATATCATTAGATCTACATTGTTTCTTGAGCCCCAAAGTCATGGATTTGGGAAGAAATGTATTTTTAATAATTTATTTGGTAAGTGTTTCTATTCCTAAAGCCTTGAAATCCAATGCAACCCATTTTACCATTTAATCGTGGGATTGTCTACAAAGAGACCATTTATCTTTTGTATAAAGAGGTCACAACTATTCTCTCTCATCATATGTCAAATTGAGTAGCTTGGGGTGAGTCATGAAGTTAGAGAAATTTTTTTTTAGAATTTTATATTTAATCAGTGATACTCTTACTACCATCTATTTTAAAATCCTAAGAATAAGAATGATTGTGATCTCTTTGTATAAAAGGTAAATAGTCTCATTGTAGACAATCCCTTTAATCATCATACTAAGAAGATTAAGCAATTGACTACTTAAAAATAATTAAATAAATGAAGGATATTTAGTCATTGTAAGAACATTAGCAATGGATCACATCAAAGTGATAAATAGGAATGAGCTGTCACATTTTCAAAGTAGAAAGGGCAAGATAGCACAACACATGGCTATTACTTTATTAAATTCATATTGCATTCTTGTATTGTTTAGTTTAAGCTGCTTAAGGGAATACTATGAACCAATGGGAATATTTAAAGGATGATGCTTTTCAAATGAATAGTGATTTGAATTGAAAGTCATGTTGACATAAAGGAGGAGGTTGAAACAAATTGAATTGAATTTATTATTTGAATATCAGTTAGCTTATGATACCTAATGGAAAAAATTATGCTTTGACTTTGAATTAGTGCTTGCTTAATGCCTTGCATTCAATAAGGAATTAGAATTTCATGCAAAGGATGAGGTTTTTCAATTACTTTCACTGCCACAGTGGGTATGAAACAGTCATGAACGGCTTTTGTGAAAGGGAATAGATGACAAAATTTAGCCCAAAAATATGGTTGATAGCTGGAAGATAAAATAAAGATGCTGATCTCAGTTCAATATAATAACCCCAAGAGACTTTTGACTGGATTCAAGCCTACTTTTTAATGTGATTTACCCCAGCTTGTTCCGGGTTAGAAACCAGAACTAGTTTTTTCATAGGAAATCTTTGTTATGGGTTTTTAACCTTGAACCAGTACGGGTATTTACACCATCTAGATTGGACCAATTAAGTCGAGCAAATTACTGAAATGAACTTTGATTGTTCAGGTTCTGAATCTAAAACAAGGGCAATTTTATAATTTTTCTAAACAAAATTTTTAAAAGGATACCTATGTGAAAGGAATTTGTGAAGTGGTCATTCTAATGCTGAATTGGTTAATTTGACAAAGACCATTTTAATGATATATTTTTCCTTTTTATTAACTATTATCCATAGAACATTGCCTAGTTTTCAAGGCATCTTCTTTTAAGTTATGTTGATGCAAAGGCCATGATTATGAGTTACTGATTCGGGCACATTTCATGACTAAAATGCTAAAAGAACTTACAAAGCTCATTTACTTGAATAATTCTGATCTTGGTCGTGATTCAGACCAGTTCAGTTTGAAATTCACATCATCAGTGAGTTAAGGAATATGTTTGCCACCTCAGAATAGATAATGCATGTAGTCCTGCTCACTTGTAAAGTCATGGAGGGCCGCCTTGCTTATTCATTTAAGATCTCTGATGATATGATTTAAGAGTTGTTTTGTTCCTCCTTTGATTATTTAAAAACTTGATGCTGATGGAAGAGTCATTTTCCTTGGTGGACATTATTACTTACCCAACATTGCAATTTGACCTAATACTTGTGCCCTAGTGCCTGCCTGATTTGCCAAAATTAGGAGTTTGATTGTTTGACTTTGCAATCCACATGAAAAGGAAATGGCACCATGTACAGTAATTCTGAAGATTTATTTTATTGTGTGAAGAAATAACAATGGATACCTACAGAAAGTTTCAGATAGTATGCACCCAAAATTGACAGAGAAATTTAACTTTGAAGGGAAATTTGTCTAGCCAGAAAAAAACTTTGTGAAGGAAAAATGCTTATTAAGATACTCATGCATTTGAGCTTAAATATCGGGAATCAAAAGGGCTTTCAACTGGTGCAGCTTAGGAAATAGGCGCATTTGAGCTTAAATATTGCTTGAAATGTAATTCAGCCAATTAGTATATAGGTCACAAACACTCGTAACAAATTAGGAAATATTGGTGCAAACCCCACCCCTTCCTCCCCCAAACCCCAAAAAAAAAATGAAAAAAAAAATAAAGAGAAAAAAAAATCCAAGAAGTCACAGATCCTGCAATTTTCAAAGCTACAGGGATAATGAGATGCATCAAGGATTTTAGGTCGTCAAGCGATCACCAAAAGTTAAGACTTTGGAGTTGTCCCGGAGAAACAAATTGCAGCTATTCTCTTTTCATTTCACAAAATTTTTATTATTGTACACGTATATAGCCTCAAACACAAACAATATATAGTCTCAAACACAAACAATATATAGCCTCAAACCCAGACAAGAGATAAAAGTTAAGCCATCCTCTTGAGTCTACAACACAGTCGGTGAAACTCATTTCACAGTGACTCCCTCTTCAGGAGTTTCATGATGCCATCTCTTGGTCTGACAGCCAGTCCAGTGCTGAATGCTGCACAAGGAAAAAAAACCACAGCAAGCCCAACTGTAGTCCACTTCCATCGACTCTTCAGTGATTTCAACCCATAGAGGCCATGGCAAAACTGAGAGAGCCCCAAGCTCATCTACAAGAAAGGGTCTCAAATAATAAGACCAGAACCAGAACGTCATTGTTCTTAACCACATCCACTTTAGTAAAAGGACACAAGTACCCCAAAAGGATTCAATACACAGGACTAAAGCACCACTTCTCTTGATTAAATTACTGGCACACACTCTATACATGGAGAGTGTGGATCTGCTGAGCCACCGGATGTCAAAATTCTCCAGCCTCAGGATTATCAGAGACAAGGTTACTTCTGGAAATAAAAAATTGAGCATTGTACAGAGAGAGATGCCACCTGCCACCCACTTTGTCAAGAAACATGTAACCACTGGTCCCATACAATTCAAGAAAGCGACTTTGACCAACCAAGCTGCCACCCATAGAGAAGAATATACAGAGACACTCCCAACCCACGACCCCATAGACATGGCACTCCCCTTTTCAGAACAAATAAATATGGCTTTGTAATATTTTTTTTTAACTTCAGGGTATTTGTTGTCATTCCACAAAAAGCTTTGTAGTTCAAAAAGTTCTCTGAAACCAGGGACATTCAGGTAGCTCCCAAATTATGTAGATCCAAATTCACCTTCCTCGAACCATACTAACCGACATTCCATTTATTGAAACTTGAGATTTGGTGGTAGAGGAGAACAAATAAGAGGTCTCAGAACCATCACTGTTGCTTTCCACCCCCTTAACATCAATAAATGGAGGCTGTGTAGGCAAAGGAAGCTCTTTTCCCATGCTTACTAGTAGCTCCACTACCTTCCACATGGGAGGCCGAAGAGTTGGAGAAGCCTGAGTACAAAGAAGACCCACATGAAATACTCTGAGAAGTTGTTCTTCAGAGCACAGGCCTTGGATGTTTGGATCCACTATTTCTAAGAGAGTGTTTGAACTGTACTGCTTCCATATCTGAAGAAAGAGGGGACACCAAGATGTTTTAAGAACCAGAAATCTGAAAGGCCATGGCTATGAAATTCCCTTTTTATTTAGGATATATATAAGTGGGAGATCCTTACCAATGACATAAGGGAGTGACCCTCGACTGAGGTCGATATTGAATTGTTGTTCTTACGACCAGTGACCATTTCGAGAACGAGCACTCCATAGCTGTATATGTCAGCCTTCTCAGTTAACTGGCCGTGGATAACATATTCGGGTGCCATGTAGCCACTGTAATGGTGATATAAATATGATAAGGTCAATTGTTTACTGAAATTCACCAGAGTTCAGGGAATAAGGGAAGTTAAAAAAAAACAATATTTAGCTAATCATCACAAACACCCTTCTTATATAAGGGACATTCATTTTGCAAAATAAGCATAAACTAGGCTATGAAATCAAACTGAAGTTTGCACCCTCTGTAGCATGTTTCTACTACAAGGTTCACCTAATTCAAGGAAAAGCAGTGTTCATTTTTCTTTATTTATCTCTTTTCTTTTTCTTTGGCATGTGACATTGTAAGTCCATTTCACCTCTAAGAACTGAATAAAATAAATAAATTAAAAAATTTATGGCATAAACCTAAAACCTTCTAACAGTGTCAAGGGCATAACCTTTAAACACTAGCCATGTTTGCTTATAGTTGTGTTTAAGCAGCAAACAAACACAAAATTAGGGGGACAGGAAAAAACGAGAGAAGAGGAATAAACAAGAGTGGGGTAATGATACTCTGTCAAAGTTTATAAAATAAATAGGACAAACGTTGGGGTAAGGACTTAAGTTCTTACAGAGTTCCAGCAATGCCTGTGCTCAGGTGGCTTTGATCCTCTGCAAAATATCGCGCTAGGCCAAAATCAGCTATTTTGGGCCTGAATTTCTCATCAAGTAGTATATTACTCGCCTTTATGTCCCTGTGAATGATTCTCACCTCTGACGCATCATGAAGGTAAGCTAACCCCTCAGCTGTACCAACAATAATATCAAACCTCCTCCTCCAATCCAACAACTTTCTTCTAAAAGGATCTGTTTGCAAAATACAGTCCTGGGTCATGGACCTTCCACTAAACCCTACCAACCTTAAGTATAAAAACGATAAATGGCGAGGCTAGTTTTGCTGCCCACTATTTTAGTGACCATATATAACAACATCGATCAATGTGAATAAAATGATGGTCACATAGTATGCTTGATGACCAAAAACATCAATTTAGGTGCATTAATTGATTAAAATAGTGGGTGGCACATTCAGCTCTTGCAAATAAAAGGTAAAAGTTCATCATCATCAGAGCCTTTTCCCAACGAATTGCAGTCAGAAATGAATAGAAGCTGTGTTTTGGAAAAAGATTTAAGAGTAACAGTCCTACCAAATAAGAATCGATCCAGGCTAGAATTTGAGAGGTATTCATAAACTAATAGACTTTCAGGGCCTTCTACACTGCAACCCAGAAGCTTGACAAGGTTTTTATGCTGAACCCGACTGATAAGGTTAACTTCATTGAAGAACTGGTCTATCCATTGCCTGGTATTGAAGAAAAGTCTCTTGACTGCAACCACCCTGCCATCTGATAGAACTCCCTGCACATTAATACATTTGAAAGAGAAAAGGAAAAAGGATATCAATAAATGGTAGATGTCATCACAAGATTTAAAGTTTATCATCAGTAATGCAAAATTCGGTGACTCGGGCAGAATGGGCTGAGTCACTAGGATGCCACATCCGGATGAAAACCCAAAAATTGGGCAAGTCTTCCAAGCCCTGGCCCCCTTCCTACCATAGACTCAGCCGAGTCTGACCTCCAACTCAACCAATTCAGTGGCTGATTCGGACTCAGGAACCTGGTAAGCAAGAGCCCTTGTCCTTGTTCCAAAACACTATTTATCATCATTCATTACCTTGTAAACAGAGCCATAACCTCCTTGGCCAAGTTTGTTAGCATCTTCAAAGTTTTTTGTAGCTTTTCTCAGATCCTCATACTTAAACCCTAGGTGGGATTGGGAAATAGCTTTTATAATTTCCGAAGAACCTTCCATATCTGGATTTGAAAATTCAGACAAAGCAAAAAATTAAAATAAAGCAAATGAATGAAATTGTAGCAACCGGCACAGTTCAGTTTCCACCCAATAGCATGACTACTCGATTTTAGAAAATAGAAGGCATTTCCAAGGTTTTCATTTACCATCAGAATCAAAAGAAGAATCCCTTCCTCGTCTTCTTCGTCTACCCAATATTATGGCTACAGATATAACCAATGCTCCTGCAAAAATGGACCCCAGAGCCACAGCTAGTTGGTGCCGGGTCACTGGAAACAAACAAACCCGAAATTAAAAAGTCGCACTTTTCTTCAAGTCACCAACCAAACATATACATATAATACATCAAATAACATGTGCTAAATTTACAGCGAACCTAAGCAAAACATCACGATGCAAATACAATAATTAAAGATAGGGTTGTATTGCTGAAATGAAGCACACTCACAACGCAAAATTAAAGAACTCTTGCAACAGAATTTTAACCCCACACAAAAGTGTCATTCCATTTGAATGACACATTTCATTTTCCTCTTTTCTATATGAAAATACTTTTTTTAAGATGTTCATAGTTGTTTAACAAGCACAATTGACTGGTCATAGTAGTGAGCTTTGAGCATTAATTTAAGGCTTTCTCAGCAGTTGAAAAAACCAGCTGAGGATCACTGAGTACTCTGAGTGCAGGCTCACATTTTCTGAAATGACCAAACTGGCCATTCAATCCAAATACGGTCACAAATGGTTAGCAATTATTAGCATCATCATGGAGATTCATTTCTGAATCTGCCCAAGGGTACATCCACTGAGGCAGAAGTGTCAAAAATAAAAAGAAGGGGTGTTTTGGGTAATTATGAGCAACATACAATGCCCCTGATTCTCAAACTACTTCATTCATGGGTTAGCAACATCACCATGATTTCCAAATAAGGCCACATTCAAATTTCAAGAAGCCACATAGAGAGACCTCAGGTACAGAGAGAGAATCTTCAAGTACAGAGAGATAGAGGGAGAGACTAATAAGCACCATGTCACAAACTTGCTAGCACCAACTCATATGAGAGGGGGAAAATGTAGAAAACAAATACCCCAATAACCAATAGTTGAAAGAAAGCAGAGAATTACAGGTTGTTAGAGAGAGAAAGGTGTAAGGTCAAAGAATTTCTGTCTCATAGAAAGTGAAAGTACCAAGAGAAATGCCAGGACAGTCACAATCTTATAAGGAGAGAATAGCAGGAAAATTACAGCAGTAGAAAGTGAAGGACAGGAGAACTACAGACTTAGAGAGAGAAAGCAGTGAGAGAAATACCAATCGAACCACGGCCTGAACCCGATTGCTGCAAATAAAATGGCGAAGTCGAATATCTAAGAAAACAACCAGCGTTCAAAGCCCTCCCCTCTTTCGCAGGCAAGCAACCACGAACACCATTGGCCGCACTGGTCAAGCAATCGCTGCACGCCCTAGAATCAAGAGATCTCCAGCACTGAGCCACCCCATAAACTGTCATTCTACTCCCATCAAACCTTCCGGCCCTGTAATGGCCTTCTCCTAAGCTCAAATTCCTCACCAACTTTCCTGCAAGTTCTCTGAAATCATTAGGGTTCGAGCTGTTCTTCGAGTAATCACAAACCACTGTGTCCTTATCATCCATGGCCTCACTCGGAAAATTCCAATTCTCATATCTCAAGAAGCATCCATCGAGATAAATTCGACCTCCCTCTACAGGGAGGCAAACAGGTAGACTAACCCTAGACTGAGCATAGCAGAGGCGACAATCAATGGAGGAAAGGTAACCAAGGCACTGGCCAAGACCATAGACACGGTTAGTAGAGTTTCCTGAAACTGAAGTTCCAAAGCCATCTCTAGCGATTTGTTGAGATACAGACTCCATTGCGGCGATGAAATTCACATCAAAGGTCGCTGGATCTAGAGCTGAAACGTTGTAGCATAGTCGCTTGATAACGGGGAACTGAGAATCATCGGCTAAAGAAGAAGCTGAGAGAATTGCGAGAAAGATAACAACGTGAATCGGGGTTGTTTTCGCCATGGATGCAGAAAAAAAAGAAGAAAAAGAGGTTTTTCTGAAAGTAGTGAGGAATTGATTTAAATTTTTGAACGTTGGGTTCCTTTGCTAGCTACATTAAAATTGATTGGAGCGTTCAGAATTAGGTTTTCTTCCGCCATTAAAGTAGCAAGGAGAAGACGAAGACAAAGACGAAGACGAAGACGAATGGAACTGCTTTGGAGCTCCATGGGAGGCCGCTGTGAATCTGGTCATATAAAGAAGCGGGGGAAGCTTACGCAACGAGCTGAAATTCACGAAATGACTATTATACCCTTGTACTTAAAATGACGAAAATGCCCTGAATCGTTACCAACTGCCAAAAGGATGATTCTTCAGGAATGACCGTCCCTACCCCTCATTCTTTGCTACCACAAAAGTGCCCTAATTCCACTTGGGGAAAAGTTATATGGTGCCGAGGCTTTACCGTTTAGGAGTGTTTCAAATCTTGGGCTTGTCAACGCTTCCCCTGCCGCATAAAAGCTCCATCTTCCTCTTTATCCAATTATATATTCTCAATGGAGGGTTAAGATTTCTCCTATCACAATGTCAGTCTTTATATTATTTTATTTTTAACTTTTTTTTATAAGTTATTTTGACACCAAATTTTGGATGTCCACTCCTCTATTAAACTTGAACTAGCGAAAAATAAAGAATAAAAATATTTTCAATAAAATAAAACGATCATAATACCCCTGAATGTTTCAAGAGATATTTTTGTTACTATATTTTATCGAAAATTTATTTTTAATATTTTTTATAGGTGCGCCCTAATGAGAAGATGGCATGTACCAAATTTCATATTCATACAATTTGTATAAAAAAACTAAAAATAAAATACTTTGAGACGTCGGATCTAAGATCAAACGGTGAGTGACTCTCTTGATCAAAATTGGACGGCTGGATGGTAGGGGAAGATAGAATTTCTATGATGTAGGGGAAGCATAGAAACCTTTCCCGATAGTTAATATCTACAAATCTGTGTCATATCACTTGATAAATTATTCGTATTAGGTTTATTTCTACGAGAATCGACGATCCAAAAAATTATTTTAAAAATAAATTAAATTTAAAATTAATATAGAGGTTTATAAGGTGAGGATATAGACGGGACCTAAAAAATGTTAAATAAATTTATATATATATATATATATATATATATGGAAAACACTACACAATGCCTATAGGTGAAAATGAACAATGATTTCGCCTACCCCCATCACCATCCAAAGTTCATTACGCGGTCACGATTGTTCGGTAGTGTTTCATTTTTTATTTTTTTTCTACAAATCGGAATGACCTAAAATTTGGAGCGTGTATTCATCAAAAATAGGGAAATCTTCGAAAATTATATAAAAAAAATATTTTACATGAAAAAAATTTGACCAAAATACCCTGGAAAAGTTTTGGGGGTATTTTGGTTAATTTATTTTTCACGGATATAGGAAAACACTACGCAACGCTTATAGGTGAAATGAATAGTGATTTTGCCTACCCCCATCACCGTCCAAAGTTCATCGCGCGGTCACAATTGTCCGAAGTGTTTCATTTTTCATTTTTTTTTTACAAATCGGAATGATCTGAAATTTGGATCGTGTATTCATCAAAAATAGGGTAATGTTCGAAAATTATAAAAAAAATATTTATATGAAAAATATTGACTAAAATACCTCCCAAAAGTTTCAGAGGTATTTTGATCAATTTAGTTTTCTCAGATAATTTTTTTTATATTTTTATTAGATGCGCCTTAGTAAGATGTACATATCTCCAAATTTTAGGTCATTCTAATTTGTAAAAAAAAACATGAAAAATAAAATACTACTAAACAATCGTGATCACACGATGAAATTTGAACGGTGATGAGGGTAATCGAAATCAATATTCATTTTCGCCTAGAGGCGTTGGAAAGACT